GCAAAATCCAGTTAATATTATCAATTTTTGCTTAAAAAATGATCAGATCAATTCAATGGCTCAACTCACTCTTTATTTTGTTATGTTCATGGGAAATGGGTTGAAAAGGATGAACATAAAGCATTCATTTATTGCCAAAAAGCTGCAGAAATGGGAAATGCTTTTGGTATTGGTTGTGTTGGATATTGTTATTGGAAAGGAATTGGAGTTGAGGCGTCACAAAAACCAGTATATTGGTATAAAGAAAAGGATGAACTTAAAGCATTTAATTATTTTCAAAAATATGCGGAGATTGGTTATGCTCTTGGTGCAAGTGTAGTTGGTTATTTTTATCAACTTGGAATTGGAATTAAAAAGGATGAAAATAAGGCATTCATTTATTATCAAAAATCTGTAAAGATGGGGAGTGCTGTTGGTGAAAATATGATTGGAAACTGTTATCAATATGGAATTGGAATTAAAAAGGATGAACGTAAGGCATTCATTTATTATCAAAAAGCTGCAGAAATGGGGAACTCTATGGGAATATTAAAAGTCGGTGAATGTTATCGAAATGGAATTGGAATAACAAGAGACTTAAATGAAGCCAATTATTGGTACCATAGGTAAACATTAAATTGAGTCTAAAATTTATTTTGGTATATTGTACTGTATTGCAGCACAACCAATTTATACTGTAAATCAGGTGTAATTAAACTCAATTTGCATTAGCGTTATGGTTAAAATAGGATTAAAAAAGAAATAGAGCGATAAACCAAACTTTTAGGACACAAAATGCGACTTCATGAATAAAGCTTCGAGTTAAGGTTTTTATAGGATTTTTTTTTTTAGAAGATCATTACTAATATTTAACAGATGGACCTTGGCAGTGCTACGTTGCAATTACAATATCATTATAATTCGGTGGATTTGAGGATTTGACCTTTATTGAAATTCCTTATTATAATAGATTTAAAATTTTACATAAGATCAATATGAATTTCAAATAAGTAATATTTAATTAAAACCATTAAGATTTTGGATTTAGGGAAAATTCCATAGATCTTCTGAATTAATATATTGAATACGTTTATATACTTAATACTGTTTTATATCACTGATTAGGGAAAAAAAATATTTAACTTCAGGTATTGTCATAATTAGCTAACTATAAATTCTATTATTATTGTTTGTTTTTTTTTATTAAAATTGACACTTATATAAAAAACATTAGCTATAAGTAAATGGAACGAAATTTCTGAAATTGAAGACGAGTTGAAAAAAATACTGATTGACAATAAGCATCAGATATCATGGATTTCTTATGAAGACTTTGAAGTTATTAAGGTGACAGGTAAAGGTGGATTTGCAACTGTATATCATGCCAAATGGTATAATGAGGATAATAGTTTAGCTTGGGATGTTGCACTTAAATTACTTCATGGATCAAATAATTATCAAGAACAATTTATGAGAGAGGTAATTTTTATTAAATTTTTTTACAACATGTTATTCGCAATTTAGTATTAATAGTAATAATTTGAATTTATATTTTTTTTAATAATAAGTTAAAAGCATATTGTGATATCGGTATTAAAGATCCAACATTTTTAAAATGTTTTGGCATATCAAGAGATAAAGCTTCTAGAAATTATATCCTTGTTATGGAATATGCTTCACAAGGTTGTTTACGCAAAAATCTACGTATTATGGCACAAATGGATTGGAAAGATAAATTAAATCTGCTACAATGTATTGCATCAGATCTTTCGATAATTCATTCTCATGGTCATATTCATCGGGATTTACAAGTGGAAATATACTACAAGATAATTTGAAAAGTGCATATATTGCAGATTTAGGGTTTTCAACAACAGCTAATATTGCATTAAAATCAAAGACTGATGGAATTTATGGAATTTTACCTTACATTACTCCTGAAGTTTTGATAAAACAAATATATTCTAAAGAATCTGATATTTATTCATTTGGAATAATCATGTGGGAAATTTTATACGGTAGACAAATTATTTTTGAGCATAAATCTGAATTACAATTTCAATTACAAGTATTTAAAGGTTTACGACCACATATTTATGAAAATACAGCAATATGTTACGCAGATTTAATGAAAAAATGTTGGAACTCAGAGCCAGAAAAACGACCATCAGCAAAAGAAGTTTATGATATTTTTTCAGAATGGCAGAATAATAAAAAGATTTTATCAGAATTATCTGAAACTGATAAAAAACTAATAAATATAAAAAATGAATATATGTTGATTCACATCATAAAAATAGCTTTATTTCACTTAGTAGTAGCTATATATATCAAGGTAATTAGAACTTTCGATTCTTTAAATCTTTATACGTATTATAGCATTGCTTAACAATCTTTTTTATAGGTAGTAAATTATATGAAATGAAAATACTTGATATTGTTAATTAATTAAAGCAACCCTCCAAATTTTTGAACAGAAAATATGTCAAATGACATTATAATTACTAATAAGAATGTACGTAGAATGTTCTGGAGAATCGTGCATTACGTTCATATAACATCTTCACGGCTAATTTGTATTTCTCCATTTATATTGATATCAATTCTTTATACTTGGAATTAAATATTGTATTAAATTTTGAATCCGATAGAGTGATATCTTTGAATTTATTATGATTTCAATTATATCAATATAATAAAATGTAGTAGTATAACCCTTCGTTTTACTAAAAACAATTATATGATTATTATAATAAGCATATTTAGCAAAAGGGTGCCGGTCAATAACCCGACAAACAGAATCCTGACAGGTCATAATCTCGACAACATAAAATTAATTTAGGTTAGGTTAAGGTTAGGCTATTGCATATGTTAGAGTTAGGGTTAGGGTTTAGGCGATAAATTCGTGATTTATAAAAGATATATCTATCTTCACTCTTGTTTTTTTTTTCACAACTTATTCCTTTAACTCATTTTTCAAACAACTTAAAGTAATATATATCTTCAATAAATGATACTTTCACATTGAACATATTTTTGTGTCAAAATATCAATTTACAACAATGTGCCTGTAAAACAATTTGAAAAATCAACAGTTCATCTGATATTACTCAAATAGTCGTAAATATTACCCAATTGTATTTAGAAGATAAGTCACAAGATTTTTCACAAGATTTTTCTTAATGAAATTATTAAAGAAATGTGTAATCTGTTTATTGAAGAAATATTAAAAGGCAAATATCACCATTTAATCTTGATACATTAGAACAATTCCTAATAAAAAAGAAGCAAAATCCAATTAATATTAATTTTTGCTTAAATGATCAGATCAATTTAACGGCTCAAATCACTCTTTCATTTTATTATCTTCATAGGAAATAGGTTGAAAAGGATGAACATAAGGGATTCATTTATTGCAGAAATGGGAAATACTCTTTGGTATGGATGGTGTTAGATACTGTTATTGGAAAGAAATTGGAATTGAAAAGGATGAAATTAAGGCATTTAATTATTTTCAAAAATCTGCAGAGATTGGTTATATGTGTAGTTGATTATTTTTATCAATTTGGAATTGGAGTTGAAAAGGATGAGCATAAGGCATTCATTTATCATCAAAAGTCTGCAGAGATGGGGAGCGCTGGTGGAGCAAATATGGTTGGAAGCTGTTATCTATATGGAATTGTAGTTAAAAAGAATGAACGTAAGCATTCATTTACTATCAAAAAGCTGCAGAAATATGGAACACTATGGGAATATTAAAAGTCTCTTATGTTATCGAAATGGAATTGGAACAACAAGAGACTTTAATGAAGTCAAATATTGGTATCAAAGGTAATATTACAGTAATTTGAGTCTAAAATTTATTTGTGTATATTGTGTCGCAACACAACCAATTTATAAGATCAAACTCAATTTGTATTAGCGTTATGATTAAAATAGGATTAAAAAAGAAATAGAGTGATAAACTTAACTATTAGGACACAAAATGCAACTTCATAAATAAAGCCTCAAGTTATAGATTTTTATAGGTTTTTTTTTTTTTAAAAGATCATTACACCGACTCTAGTATTTAATAGATAGACCTTGGTAGTGCTACGTTGCAATTACAACACTCCATTATAATTCAGTTGACCTTTATTAAAATTCCTTATTACTGTATAGAATTTTGTACATAAGATCAAATTGTTATCATTTTCAAATAAGTTTCTAATATTTAATAAAACCATTAAGATTTTGGATCATGGTCAAAATTCCACAGATTTCCCGAATTAATATATTGAATACGCTTATATACTTATTAAACAAGATTTTTTCAGGAAGAAACTTCTGTGCTAAAAGTTACATAATACCACTGTGAACAAAAAAAAAAAAAGAAAGAAAGAAAATTTTCAAATGGTCAAACAACTAGAAATTTTTTTCAAAACTAAACGATAATGAATATCTCTCCAAGAACCAACTAAAAGATAACAAATTTCCCAACCAAAATAGATCAACTTATTCAAGGTGCTTCATCTTTTTATGTACTGTTTGAACTACCGTGATTTTCTAAAAAAAATAACGAATTAAGATTAACGTCTTTAAAATGCATAACTAAAACATAATGTGAATCGAAAAAAAAAAATTACCCGAAGAGCAAATTGTATTAGTACAATGTAGAACCTTAAATTGGCGCTTCAACAATCACGACTATTCACTTTTGTTCTGCGGTAAAGAGGAGAGGTGATACGGGATAAAATCTTGAAGCTTTTTCTCAAAACTTTCCAAGATCAACATATAAATTAAATATAGGCCACGTCACTACTAGACTGAATTTGATTCGCAAATTTGATTAGAACACCCAAAAACGTTAAGTCGGTTCGGTGCTATATATCCAGATAGGAAACCAAATTATCAAGACGGATAGGAGGCAACTTCATATCAACAAATAATTGAATCGTAAAAGCGAGGCTTAATAAAGATCCATTTATCTAGTTGGCCAATATCATTCTTCTATTGCAGTCAAAGAAATCTTGAACGAGTATTTAGATCTTGAACTCTGGGAATTTTCCTTCCGTTGTCATAAAATTTTCAGGTAGTACATTGTTTTTCTCAAGTTTTTGGTGAAATAAACATCTAGCGATTGTATCTCGTTGCTCATCTATAAGATCAGTCAACTCTTCAATCAAGTCAGTCACTTCTTCAGCTTCGGCATGTACCATGTTATGTGCTATCCACTCTAACTTCTTGTTGTTCTCTTGAACAAAGGAGATAAGTGTATCGAACATTTCTTCAACGTCTTATTTTAATAAAAATTAATCAGATTAATATTATATGTTCAAGGCGAAAACTCAAATAATATTTAAAAACATCTTATTTACCGTCCTCAGTTCCATAATCTTTGTATTCTTCTAAGTCTATATCCAAAACTATACCAAAAAAAGTTTAGACGTAAGTTCGAATAAATCAAAAAAAAAAAAAGGGTAAAAAGGAAAGCTTAATTTACCAAGTGCCTTTTCAAAAATTTTTAATAAAAGAAAAAGGATGATGAAACAAATGATTAAAGAAAACATTTTTTTTTCGTATGAGCTTTTGTTAAGTTTAGGATGAGATTTTTTTTTTTTGTATGTGATTACGATTTTTAGTGGTTTAAAGGTAAGAAACTTTAAAAAGTAAGGACTTGTGAGAAAGAAAAAAAAAGACGCTTTATATCATCATTCGAAATTATCGATAAATAACGTCACGTAACTTCGATACTAGAAAAAAAAAAATCATTTGACACTATGATAATGCCTTATTTAGCAAGCACCACACGTATTAGGGAGTGTTGTTTATTGCATAATTTCTTTTTATAAAAAGGCTGGACTCCTCTCCCAGATGATCAATCATAAAGATTTATATACAATAGACTACTAATCCTCCTTTTAAAATTACGTAATAGACGGCACTACTCTTACCGTGACCAAAAGCACATTCATATGAATTTATTCATGACAGAGATGTTTCATAAAGATTAGTGGTCTGGATCACGCCATCGTTACTTTAGGATGCCTAACATTTAACACGCTAACTTTTTAGGAGGTGGGATCAAAAAAAATTTATTTAAGAATATTGATACAATTTAATAATTTATATATTGCAGGGCCTCTATCTATAGTGATAACGATAGCAAATGTATTTAATATCAGTTCCCTAGGGATGTGACTCATGATGTATGCCCACATAAGAATATCGATATACTATATGTGTTTTACAATAAATTACCGAGTCGGTAACTGTTTCGGTCAACACTAGGGTTTATTATAGTACTTTTAAAATTTTGCGTTTATAAACTAATTACTGTATTAATAAATAAAATAGTTGACATAATTGACATATTGACGTGCAGTACATTAAAATTTCTCCGGGTAGATCTGTGTTGCAAATTTGCAAACACAGGATTTATCGGTATAATCAAAGGAGTTTCAACAATATAAGAAAAAATTATTCTTTTGAAAAATAATTCGATTAAATCGGTTTTAATTTTTACCCGATATCACTTATTAATCATGTGGAAATCCAAACCGATCGGACTTCTGAACTTTAGATAGTGATAATTGTTATGTTAACTTCTCTAAATAAGAAAAGTTCTAAAAGTAAAATTCTATAACTCCAACTATTCATACCCACTTCCTTTTATTTATACAGTACTAGCAAGGATGTTAATCGATTTCTTCGATTCTATTCATTATGGTAATAAATTTACGAACAGGTTGAATCTATCATCTACTGAGTAAATTAGTAACACAATAAATTGTATCAATTGCTAAGATCACGATCAGACGTAATTTTCAAATGATAACGATAACGCAAAAATTGCGCAGCGATATACGTATGTACGTAATTACTTTTTTTTCTATTTGGATGTTTGTGTAACAATTGCATTCAATTTTTTGCCGATCTTTGCATATTGGCGAATCTGCGTAATTACTATTAAAAATATTTGACAAAGAATAACCTTTGTCCCGCTAGTCCATTTTAGATGATTTTACTGCCAAAATGACCGCCTCAGCAAGACGATTCTAAAGAGCCCAAAATCATCAAAATCAAATCACCGAATCCCGAGATCACTAGCGTTTGTTTACATCGGGTAAAATAGGATGGATTTGACCTAGTGTTTTGAACCGTCAACCGAAAGTTCAACCGGGGCTGATCCGGGTAGACTTCCGGGTATTCCCAGCCAATCGC